AAGCTGCCCGGTGTTATTTCGGCCGCGGGTGGTTCTACCGGGAAAAAACTAGATAGGCGGGGCATCCGTGGCTGGTAGACCGAAAACGAACTCCAACAAACCGGCCATAAAGAAAAGGAAACGAAGCTAAAGAATGCCCTGGAACACCCCCAGCATTTGCCGTTCTGCTGGGAACTCGCGCGTGAAAGTGTTTGGGCGCCCCGCACTCACCCCATAAAAAGTGGGGTCGGGGTCTGAGGATTTATTGTTCCACGCCCCGGTCCTTCAGTTATAGTGGAGTCAATCCTGACGATCTGCACCCTGAGTGCATCATGAAGGACTGATCCAGCGGTTTCATGGACTTGTGGTTTCACGAAACGTGCGACCCGGGCAGGCCGGTGTCCGTGTCTCCTTAAGTGTCCCAAATGGCGACAGCTGACGTTCGGTTCTACGGGACAGGGACATGCCGAAACTTGGCCCCCCCCAAACTGGCCCTCTTCGCTATGGCCTATCATCGCTCTAATTGGCCTGCCCACTGATACACGAGCCCAAACATTGCGGCCAAAGATTCCTCCACCACAATCCTTCAAACTACTTGTACCAACATTCCGGAAGCATCTATTATGATCTCTTAGCCTTCTCTCGATAATTATAGGCATAGGCATCTCTTATTATCATTGCTTGTCTCTCAACTGGACTCTCTCGCTTCACCTGCAAATTCCTGGCGTCTTTTATCCTGGCATCGACGAACTGCCAGGAGAGCTGCTACGCGCGATCATGCTGCATTTCAGCATCGTCTGGTGAAAGCTGCTTCACACCACGAGCTCTGCAGATTTCTTTGCCGAGCCAATGCCGTGAGATCTAAATCGTCCTATGGTGATTTCCAGGGTGTTAAAACGCTCAAGCGGGATTTCAGGCACAACAACGCGGCCCAAACATACAACATGTTTTTTTTTAATTTTTCAATAATGCAACTGAATCAATCTGCCAAGCTATGTTTTGCCGAGAGGTACGGAGATGTAGGCTGATGCAATCAATTAGGCAATTCTATGACCTTCGGAATAACAGCATAGAGATGGCGTTCAATGTTGGATGTCCCATTCAAGAGCCTGGCCCCCCTTCACTCGTGGACCTACGTGGACCTGCCATCGAATTCGGATGACCGGGCCTGGGCGCGATCCGAGACCGGGATCGACCGGCCCGTGGCCCCCAACCCAAGACCAAAACAACTAGGTGCCTGGTGAACATGTGTTTTTGTTGCGATGTTTTTTGGTAAAGCAGCTTTGAGGGAGCTTATATATACAGTAGTTGTCTTTGAGCCAACAAATATGATGCAAATATATATATATATATATCCCGCTGAAAACTGACCTGGACCCTGAAAGCCGGAAAGCAGTCTTTCAGGGTGCCATTCTCAGGGTCTATCTTAGTTTTCGGGGGTGTGTATATAATACTATATAATACATATGAAAATATATGAAACCATTATAATACAGTCTGGTCATTGTACCTCACTGTCATAATGTGATAAAATGTGCCCCCCCCAGATTCCTCAAGCCCCCAATGCCGCTTCAGAAAATCCTCACTTCCTGGTTGATAGGGATGGACATGAGGCTCATTGAGAATCCACTGTTTGATACTGTTTGTAGGTTTCGTTACCTTAACCTTACCCATGATGGGTCCTAATGGAAGCACTTGAACAAACACCTGTTGAAGGCTTCAATGAACTTCAAACTTGTTGAAAGCGTGTGGTTTCATCTGCTTAGTTTGCTGAGACAAGCGCCAACCAAACAAAGCAAACATGACGTGTGGACACAATGGATTTGTGGTCACGGGTTGAATTCACTGGGGTGCCGGTCCCTTAGCGAGGTGCTGAACCCAAGGAGTGTCAACCACAATGTCTGGGTATGATCCGTGGCTTAACTTGATACAATCAACTTACATTGACTTACATACCCAGACCCAAACCACCCCATGTATGGAACATAGGCCTAGGTTGACCTCTGAAACCACCCCGATGTAGGTAAATAGGCCATATGCATGGATGGTCTGGGATAGGATGACCCAGCGTGCGTTCCTTCGCAGATCAGTGTGGAGCCCAGGTATGGCTTTAGATTGGTTTCTAGGCCTGCCTGTTTGTCCCATGTTTGATCTTAGGAACTCCTAATTAGCTTCACATCATGGATGGTGTCCCACGTGCCTTGCGTTCCGGTGCGCCGAGCACCGGGCTAAACACCATTGTCAACCACCTGAGTCTCTCATCAAACTGACAAGGCTTTCGGCTTGGATTTGAAGCTGTGCAACGAGCGAACTTGATGTCCAGCAAAGGTGGATTTGGGGTGGTCGGAGTAACATTTGTGCAAAAACACGCAACATGTTAAGTGCAACCTACACCTTTCTGACCGAGATCACCGGAAAAGGAGTCTTTATGTCTATACGTGTCCTGAGAAGGGGATTCTCGAGACGCAAGCTGAACCCACACAGTGGTTCTTTCAGCGCTCCACTGTGTAAAGAAACAAGCATGCAAATGAGAGCCCAGTTGAAACCAGGTCATGCGGCCATGTGGTGAAAATGTGTCAACTGCAAACATGTTCATCGACATGCCCCGACCGAATTGGAGCTCCAAAACTTGCCAAACAAACCGCCGCTCGGGCAGGAAGTCATTGGTTGGACCCGGACCCGCAAACATCCACCCCAAAAAACACTTCTCAGAAGGCTCAAGGCAGTCCCTGCCATGTCAAACGGTTGACAAGTGGAACTGCAACCAGTTCCTACCTACCGGAGGACCGGAGGTCAGGGTTTGACACAGGAAGCATTGGTCGAAGTTCTGAGAAGCCAGGGTTTGTTTATGGCATTCCACGGACTTTGTTTGACCATCCAGCCAGCTACTGGTCCTTGGTCCTCTTGTCCATTCACCGGCCACAGCCCATATCATTAACAAACATCCCCTGTAGAACTACTACATACCCCCACCCGCAAGCCCACCAAAAACAGAAACACAATCATTGTAAAAGGGCCGCCAAAATCCATTGGCACCATTTGCCCAACCAATTTGAGGATTCGACGCCCCTACAGATCCATGCAGTTGCCGATCTCCGCGTCCGCTGCTGCCCGGGGCACGATGAAGGTGAGCAACCTCCGGAGGCGATAGCCGTTCATCCACACGAAGTCCTCCTGCACAGTGGTAGAGCTCTTTTTGGGCGTAGTGGTTGCAGTTGGGGTCGCGGAGGAGGTGGCGGAGGAAGGATGAGGGGTGGGGGGGGAAACGCCACCAGGTCGTGGAGTCGTGGAGTTCCGAAGCCGGAGTCGTGGAGCGTCCAAGGAATTACAGTCCACTGGTCAGAGCAACAGTATCGATTAAGTTGGTTTGGACCGCTTGCTCCTGAAATCTCCTGAACCACCCGTCCATCTTTTGAGGAAGCCCTTGTGCACATTGAACCTCATTACTCCTCATTTGTGAGAAGCCCCCGCAGCGAGGAACATATCGGACTGCCCCTTTGAGGCGGCAAAGTGTCACAGGATCACTATACCACTCTCAGCCTCAAGCTCATGAAGCCAACAGAATGGACATGTTGAACATGAATGAATTCTGAATTCAAATTGAATTCAATGACAGGTCGATTGGATGCATGGTAATTAGCAGGTCTATTCACCAATCGGTGGTCGATGGAACTTCCCACCTCGCTTTCGGTCGTCCCTGGGGCCGTGGAAGTACTGGTTCCCCGGCCGCAAAGCTGGCCGCCGAGGTCTTATTCGCCATCTGCGGTGGGGGCGACCCGAACAACTCGACTCGTGACCAAACGAGAACTGCGCCCTGCAACCACCCGCGCGGACTTGGCGAAGGGAGTGTGACAGGACTGACAAATGATTTTCTGGTTGGGCAGCCGAGGTCTGTGCCAGTGACCGTATGCTTGGGAATTCCTGGGAAGCACCATGAACCATCATCTTGACATCCCCAGACCACTAGAATAAACATGGAGGTGGCAGTACCATTTTCCGAACGACATATATACAGTATAGTCCTAATTTTGAATGTGTTAGGGGATAGGCTTAGGACTTTTGGACATCTGCAGGTCCTTTGGAATGCGTTGGGCTTCAGCCGGGAGAGTCACTGACAAAGCCACCAAGCCACTCGGAGCTGGCGAACTTGCGTTGAGCTGACCAAGACTACTTCCAGAGCTGAGACGAGGCAACAGCTCTTCACTAGCCAAGCAAAATTCAAATGGGTTCCTTAGAAGTCACATCTGTCACTGGAACGAGCACTCGTCCATCTTTGACCACGTAAGTAGCAAATATATGTGGCACTGACACATCTCCCTTGCAAGCAGCATTTTGGCTCTCACGGTGGTCGCAAGCCTTGAGCTTGAGAATCGGATCATTTGGGTACTGAATGCATTTCACGTGCTCCAAATCCAAGCATGCCCTAGGAAAATCAAAACAATACTTACTGGTCGATTGGAATATCAGTCCCTACTCGCTCAACAGAGACAGTAGCATCAGTAGCAGGACTGTCTGGATCTGCCTGGTGAGCACCTTGCGACTCGGACCTGCGCCATTTGCGGGTTCTTTTCACCCAGGAGACGTCCAAGGACAGGCATGTCAATGGTCAGAGAGAAGGACAGGCACTGCTTTCTCGACATCATTGCCAACGGCTTCGAGCACAACTCCTTGGTGCCAGTCTGGGCCCACCAAGCAGGTTCATTGGAGGCCCAATGGGTGAGGTTAGGGTGTTGGGGAACTCCCCACAACAGTGATCATTGTGGATCATTCATTGAGTGTTATAAGGTCTTTATTATGGATCGGGTTCCCTGCCAGGTTCCCTCCTAGAGCCCTTCATCTATCCTGGGCATGGGATGCCTGCAACAGTCAATCACCACCTGGACCATCCTGTTTGGGTGTCCAATGGAGGTCCCTATACAATCATAAGTGTAGGGTGTCCAGCCAGGGCAGACATTGGATGATCCCGGAAGGTTTCTCCATTGGCACGAAGGGTTGGAGTTGGGAGGGGGGCGGAAAACATAGACACTTCATGATGCTTTTTTATTGACTCAGCAAGCTTCCGGAGAATCCTTCAGAATCCGTGGCGGGCGGCGAAACAGGGCTTGGCCACCCATGTCGGTGTCATAAGAAGAGGAAATGCTTGGCCACCCATGGCCACCCCATGGTCCACCGAACGTCGGTCTCTCTCCAAGCGTCGGATTCGGTTTTCGTCGTCGAAGCCCATGTCCTTGAGCATCCGGATGGTCTCTTCCACCGACTCGCCACCAGCGGGCTCAGCTGGGGCACCTAAAGGCTCAAAGGCGAGAAGATGCATCGGCAGAAGGACAAGGACCTCCACCTCCACGGTGCCTGGACTGGAAAGTGGTGACTGACCTGAAGGAGGTGCGGGGTACATAGACCACGCTTTAGGAGGAGCTTGCAGTGAATTTCCAGCATGTGGCTGGACCCATTGACTTCCGTCCGTTACGGCACCGGGAACGCCCACTGGTCGAGCCGATCGCGGTGGATCGGAGCGCAGCCAATGCCAGGCAAAGCGCTTGGAAAGTCCATCTGCTGCTCTTCTTCTTTCTTCGCCCTTGGAGAGCCGGAAAAAAAAAGGATCACTCAACCGCGAACGCACGAAGCAACACGAAGTCAAGGATCACAAGGGCAAGAGTGTGTTTTGCGGCACCCGCGTCCTGAGACCCAAGAGGGAGGGACTGGCAGTGCCTGGTATCGGTTTCTGGCTTGGAGAAAACAGCAAGTGTGACACCCTTGTGTGTGAAGAACCCTGCAGACTGTGTCGCCCAAAATGCAAAGATATGCAAAGCATGTTTAGAAAGTTCTGCTAGGAGGGAGTCACTAAATTCCTGCACTGCTAAGTTCCTGGCTTCTTGTCCTTGGCCTTCCTTTTTTTCTTCTCTTTCACCTTGCCAGTGTCAGCGTGATGGGGTTACTATGGAGCCTGTCTTTCTGGGGAACCTCCAACAAATTGCTTGGACAAAAAACAATGCAGAATTTGTTGCGAAACCTGTCAGTTTCAATGAGGCATGAGGATCCTCTTGTTCACCACTTCTGCTGCGCCGTCTACGACAGAACTCATGGTCAGCTGGCGTCTCCACTCCGGTGTTTCTCTGCCTAGTTGCAGCCCAAGGTCTTGTGGTAAAAATATGTCATCATGGGCCATCCATCATTTACCAGTAACCGTGGATGATGCTTGGTATTCTCAAAAATAGTGATAATATATTATATTATTGTTTGCGCACTGTAACAGGTAATTGGACAAACCCAACACATACTCAGTCCAAAAAAATATATACACCAAATCACGTTCTAAAGAGTTCGTCATCCACGGTCTTGGGTGTCCAGGGTTGATCAAACACCTGGCTCACTGGGGTGTACCCGGTTGAATTGACCACAGCAAATAGGACAATTGGTAATCCTCCCTGGCGAACTCTTGCGGCCTCTTTTCTTGGGGAACTTCATATCACTTCACCCATAATAGCAGGTGATTTGGCATGTTGCATTCATGTTGCATCTCTTCATGACCCCTCTCAAACTTCTGATCAGACCCACTGAAATTCCGAACTCGGCCTCCGGCCCGCCGCAACAAACTCCCGGCCTGAGGTGCGGCTTCGCTGGGCCAGGCTTCGCTGGGTGCGCCTGTGAAGGACCAAGGTCCGGAGTCCGCCCACCGAGCTTCGTTGCTTTTAGGACGGTTTTGGATGGCTTTTGGAGGACAGACGGTCTCCAAAACTCTTTAAGACTTTTAGGTCCGCAAAGTTCAGGAATTTTGGGGTTCAATCCTGTGCTGCTCATGTCATAGGATGAAGTTTTTGCTAGAATGGTGAAGGGGGGTAATTGCTTTGAGTTCGACCCTGAATCATCTTTTAGTGGGCCCCACTTCGCCCGCAAAATGACTCAATCGTCAAGAAAATCCCCTCCCAGAGTGCCACCTCAGTCACTGGATTTGTGGACTGCTGTAACTATCTAGAATCTAGAGAGTGACATCGTTGTGCTTTGCTTTCACCCTCTTGTCACTCACCAACCCATGCAATCGTGGTCGCTCCTTCGATGTTTGTCAACCCGAGGTCACATGATTTGCGTGGCCCTTCGTGGAAGACCCACACGAGCTTGAACTGATAGAACATCTCAAGATGTGCCAGCTATGACCCTGCAGTCCAAACGATCCACCTTGCGTGCTCCACACTCTTTTGTGAGTTGGCATAAATCAGAAAGCAACAACTTAAATTAAATGTGTGCGTTAGGTCTTCACAACACATCTTGCAAATATTTGCTGCTGCATCAGAATCAGAAGTCTAAATGCGATGATCACCTGATGGTCGACCACCTGCTCCACCTGCTTCCACAACAGGGTGATGCCAAGTCTTGAGCACGCAGTGATGGGCCGCAGGGCTCTGGCTGCCCTACAATATAATTAGATGGACAAACTCATCAAACCTTGGCCGAAATTATGGCGAAAATACCTTGAGACCTCTTGAGTAGACATCTACTTGGCACCGGTGTCTGCGATGAAAAACGGAGCAAGTATCAATGCTTTGTCCATCGAATTGTCTTTTTTTTTCGCCTCCACTCTCCTTTGGGAGCTGGACGGCCGACGTTTCGGCCCCAATAGGGCGGGCCCCATGCAGCAACAATATGGACCGCCCCTCCGCCCCCGGTGGCGTAAGAGCTCGAGCTTCCGCGAGCTAACGAGTGTTTTCATCTTGCATCCGAAAGCAAATCCACATCAAGCTGAGAAGGAACGAGAATCCCAAAATGGCATTTTTCGCGTGGCATTGGCATTGGAATTGTCTTCACGGGGAGGGAAGGTCCAAATCTAAGTCAGCAATGAGCTTCCAACCAGTCCCTCCACCCAATCAAGGACACTTTCGGTGCGCTTTGATAAGAAGAAGAGACCTGTCATGGTACTCAGTCGAATCCCACAACTCTGAAGACCTGTTTTCTGAAAATGACCACCCGACGAGAACTTTGATCATGAATCATCAAGACTTGACTTTTCAGGCCATGCGCAACGCCTTTTTGCATCACAGGCCAGGTTGTGCACCGCACACCATGCATGGAGTAACAGCACCACATAGACAGACCGCGGCCCAATCGTCTCCGGTCAAGTTTCTTAAATGGAAAAGTTGGACGCACCCTCACAATCCAGCAAGTTCCGTATCTGCGCCCGCTTGTCCTGGACAAAGGAAGGTTTGTACCGGCCAAGCCTGCTCCAAGGCAGCATGTTCACTGTTCAAACATGCATCTAGGAGCAACTGGGGTAATGAATGTAGGCACAAGGAAGGCCACTTTAAGGGTTCTGTTTGGGAATCTGAGGGCGGTTTATCTAAAGCGTGCATAAATTTGATGCCCCCAACAAAACCAGCTGTTCTGGAGTGCAACGAGAGATTCCTCCTTCAGTTCCAAGCTTTTTTAGAGGGTAGTTCCTGCAAACAGGGACCTACAGTAGCGGATGGCATCTCCAAGCAGCACCACCAACATTGTCAATCAAGTGGCCTGACACAATTACATAGTTCAAGCTGTCACCGGCCTACAGGCGCACGCTGCGTGTGGGAACCCACCGGTGGACCTCTGCGGGACGCGCGAGGTAAAGAGACAAGCGAAACGAGACACGTCAACATGGATGATGATGCCCAGACCAATGGCTGAAATGAGACCTGAAATGAGACCAAACCAATGGCCCAATGCCATGATGATAATGATATTTCAGCACCAATGGCACTCAAAAACTCACCAAGACACCCCCAACATGTATTG